TGCATTTCCTCCATTACAGAAATGTTTTTACATACTCAACTTCTTTAGAATCCGTTATATAGCATTTTTAGAATTTCTTACAATCTATTTTGATCTAATGCTTTTTAATAAACATACTTGGTGTGTTAGATGTTATCCCCAATGCTAGTGTTGAAAATATAATTACAAAGACTTGCATAGAGAATTACGCCAGAATTTCTAACTCCGAAATGCTTAGAATTATAAATGATATAAGAAGAGATCACAAAATATATTTGTGTTTAGTCTTATGTAGTCTCCCCCTACTGCCCCCGCAAATGCCCTTTGAATAGTAACGTTAGAAAAGCGCATCATTCTTTAATATACACTGTAGCCTAGCCCATGTAGGACAAAGTGACATTGTCTCTTTCAAGGGCATCCTTTGGCCAACTTATACTCATCTCATTGGTGCTCCTTTAACACTCTGTTCTCCTCCAAAGCTAGTGAGAATACCCAGCACTTCCAGGTATGGGGGTTTGTGACCTGGTCCCTGTAACAGTGCACCAAGCCTAGCCCAAGCACTGTCATATGACCTAGGGACTGAAATCACTGCTCTCCTGGGTTGCCAACACAGCTGATTTCACCACCATTTACAGAGGAGGAAGGAGTGATGAGGGAGCACAGGTAAGGAGAATATAGGTTCACTGGAAATATACATCACCATGTTAACTGTGTCCTCTTGTACTGACTGCAACGCAATAGGTGAGGGCAAAAAAGGCTCAAACATAAAGCAGAGCGGGAAAATGTTTTCTATGATATGGTATATTCCTTATAGTAAATACTGTTATAAGATATAATAGAGTGTGTGGCATCTACATAGGAAATGAGGTTCAGTCTAGATAAATGTAAAGCTGTGTATTTAAGGTTTAGGTAAATATGCATACACAATGTTGGAAAGAACTATGTAGTAACAAGGCCACAATTATTCCTTTAGTTAGAGTTCCTTGTAATGTGCACACACTTCTGTCTTTCAAAGGGCAACAATGGTCAATCAGACCTAGATGGTTGTCATATAGTTCTAAGTTCCAGTGGTGGGTCTTATGATATCACTTCTACATCAGGCTCTCAGAAACTGTCAAGGATAAGCTTGTCCACCAGCCTGTGCCAGCTACATTCAAAAAAAGCCAAGCAGCCAACAAAAAACGTGGATCGCCAACTCTGGGATAGATGGCAGAAATGCCTTGCTAGTACCCTTCCACAAGCCCCTGACCCACCCAGCCTCCTCTTTCCTCACTAGCTGCTTTTCTAGCTGAAGAACCCAGGCAGCTGGGGACCACTAAGCTGCCAGAGACAAAGCAATAATGCTGTTGGGTTCTACTTGTGTCAGGGTCCCCAGGTTTATTTCTTGTGCAACCCTAAGTGAATGGTATTTAGTTTGCTCAAGTGCTGTGTTTCATAAACAGTTGCCATTAAGAAATAATATTTGTTTTCACCTTTTTTCAAATTTTGTTGCACCAAAATTCTGTCAATCTCCTGTGGCCTTTGCAGCCACTTTCTGTCTCCAGGTAATATAATGCTGGCACCTATATAGAATATCATAACGAATTCTATATCTATATTACTAAAGATATATCTATATTTCTATATTTATAAGAAAATAATTGTTTGATAGTATAGAAGTATATTACTTTTGATTTAGCACAGTGACACTGTTTATTAGAGGTTTGGAAAAAATACCTTTTAAGGTTTAGCGCAGTGCAGTGACATTCAACTTTTGAGAGTAATTTTCTTGTAGCATTGCAGCTGATACCGATTATTCCATTATTACAACTAAGCACATTTTTTTTAGTTGATTATATACATTAAAAAATACTGACCATTACTTTTGAAATTACATGAACACGTTATAGGAGAAAACAAAGATTTTACTACGTCTTCATACAGCCTCCACTATAATCAGATGCCCAGAGGAGGGTCTGTGCAACGGCATCATGTAACTTTCTCCGGTGTTATTGGACTGCATGTCCCATGACTGCTGCCCACTGTTTCCTGTCCTCAGGAGGAATCAAGGGCAGAGTTATGGATGGAGTGGACTGAAGACATTGTCATTGTAATAATCCCGCCACCAGAATATTTGAACTGATGTGTTTATATCATCAAAAGAGTCTTGAGGTGCTGTGTGTTGAACGGTCCCCTAGAAGCTAATCATCTGCAAAACATGTATGCACCCTGGACAGGAAACTGCTAAGAAAATTTGACTTTGAGAGGAGATATTGCTATATCGGGTGTATGCTTTGGAGAAAAGTGCAGAGGAAAAAAAAGTCCAATATTGGCAATACACTGTTATATTTTGACTTTTGCTTGGGGTTCGGCTCCAAAGTTCATTCTCAGTGGTGAAGGATGAGAGTTTAGGGTTCATTTGATGGGTTATATTTAATGAGTACATTTTGGGATTTGAAGAAGGTTAGAGGTTAAGGCTGTGCTAAAGATGTGGGATAGGTCAGAGGACATAACATTTTTGGTTAACAATTTAACACTGAGACATACGAGTGCAAAAACACTCTAAAAAAAAAATCAGTGTGAATGTTGGTGATGAGAGCGCTAACTTCTTTCAATACCATTTACAGACTTCACCATAAATGTTGCCAATTTTACTACAAGTGAAAATAAATCTCTGTGACTTATAATGCTGATCAATACTTATTATTGCATAGAAGGGTGAGCTTATTATCTCAGATATGTTCAAATTAGTAAAGCGTCTGTGTTAAACATAAATGATAATTAACATAAAATGTGTTTCTTGATGATTTTGCAGACAGTGAAGACTGCACAAAATGTTTGGATACTGAGTGGCCAAATGATGTGAAGACCGAGTGTATTCCTAAAACTGAAGAATATTTGTCATACTCTACTGGACTTGCTATTGCTCTCTGTTCTGTCTCCATCCTCTTTCTGATTATCACCATTCTCATAATGATCGTTTTTATATTAAACTATAGCACACCCATTGTAAAAGCTAATAACAGGAATCTGAGTTTTACTCTTCTTGTATGCATTCAAATGTCATTTGTCTGCGTATTTCTCTTTATTGGTCGCCCCACTGATACAACCTGCATGTATCGACAAGTCTTCTTTGGAATGCTCTTTTCGGTTGCTGTTTCTTCTGTTTTAGCCAAGACTATTACAGTCTATGTCGCTTTTAAAGCTTCCAAACCTGGAAGCCACTGGAGGAAATTAACTGGGACCAAAATGTCAAATCTTATAGTCTTGTTTTGTTCTTTAGTACAAGTTATAATCTGCATAACTTGGCTGTCCCTTTACCCTCCTTACCAGGAACTGGACCCTCACTCCTACACTAGAAAGATCATTGTTCAATGCAATGAAGGTTCGGTTATTGGCTTCTATTCTGTTTTAGGCTATATGGGGTTTCTGGCATCTGTCAGCTTTGTTATAGCATATTTAACCAAAAAGTTACCAGATAGTTTTAATGAAGCCAAGTACATCACCTTCAGCATGCTGGTGTTCTGCAGTGTCTGGATTGCCATGATCCCAGCCTATCTGAGCACCAAAGGCAAATATATGGTGGCTGTAGAGGTTTTTGCCATATTAGTTTCAAATGCTGGACTTGTAGGCTGTATATGTTTACCCAAATGTTACATTATTTTATTCAAACCGTCAATTAATACAAAAGGTTACATTCTTAGTCATGGAAAAAAATGAACATGCAAAAATATTTTAAACCTATTCCCCAAAACCAGCATTTTAATTATACATAGCAGCTGGAAGTCTAGTCAGCACGATCATCAGCTCACTAAATGTTGATTCCCCTGAATATTTATAGACAAAGCTGTTTAATATGAGATTCACACAATTCAGTAATCCTATGAATTGTAATAGCTGCACGATTCTCTACCTATCAGACAAATCCGCATGTGTATATTCCCATCAATTAAAAGCTATATATAATAGAATAGTGTTGATTTTACATATATTGCTAATTTGCTAATTAGTGGCTGGTAAGTTGACACACATACTAGTGTCCTAATGTGTATGTAAAGGCAAACTTTATTTTAATGTTTTGGATTGAGGGTGCACGATCGTTCCTCCCCCCTCCCCCCTTCCTGCTCTGCCAGGCTGTTGCTCGGATCAAGGGTCTGGTAAGGGATTTTAGGGGGGACCCCACATTGTTTAATTGTTTTAGCATTGGGGTCCCCCCTAAAATTCCTACCATACTTTAAAGGTCTTTCAGTTCACACCTTTCAGTTTATTTCTGAAAATACGCCCCCCCCCCCTCCTTTCCTGCTCTACCAGGCTGCTGTTCGGATCAAGGGTGTGGTAAGGGATTTTAAGGGGGGCCCCACATTTTTGTAGCATTGGGGTCCCCCCTAAAATTCCTACCATACATTAATGGTTTTTCAGTTCACACCTTTCAGTTTATTTCTGAAAATTCATAGTCCTTTAAATTCATTATGTTTTCCATTTGGAAATTCGGATGAATCCGGACGTGCAAATATTCTAATATTCGCCTGAATTTTAATTTTGTTTTTCACCGCTCCCACGCAGGGATTCCCCTCCCCATTTCTCCAGCACTGCCTGAAGGAGAGGGGAGGGGGCAGGCACAGCTGGCTATGCCTCTAAAGAGGCATAGCCAACTTTCAATCAGACAGTGGTGTGGATCTCAACAGTATTGTTGGGATCTATTCGGCTGGGCGGCTCTGTGCTCTCAGCATATGGCAGTCAATAGCGTGCTATATACTAAGTTCTGGGTTAACAAGAGGACATTAGTATATGTCCTCCAGTGACCCTGAAGAAAACTATGTTAGATGTTAATAGCTGGCAAGCTAACAGCACTGGCAAGACATGTAAATACATGGCAAGCAAACAGCGGTGGCAGGAGATGGTAATGGATAGCATACCAACAGTGGTGGCAAGAGATGGAAATAAATGGTAGACCAGCAGCGGTGACAGGAGATAGTAATGGATGGCAAGCCAACAGTGGTAGCAAGAAATTTTTATAAATGGCAGGGTAACAGTTGTGCCAGGAGATGGTAATGGATGGCAGGCCAGCACTCGTGGAATGAGATGGATATAAATGCAGACCAGCAGCAATGGCAAGAGATGGTAATGGAGGGCAAGCAGCAACAGTGGAAAGAGATGGTAATAGATGGAAGGCCAACAGTGGTGTTAGTAGATGGTAATGCTTACAGGTATATTAATGGTTTGGGTGCCAGGAAAAATGTTACTGGTCACATGAACTGCAGGAGTTTGGTATTCAGCGCTGATCCAGGATTGGTTCATTTGTATAAAACCAGTCAACTGTGTCTATGGACACGCAGATACATTTTTCTGTCGCAAAACCACCAGCTACCCTAAATGCCTTTTCTAAAAGCGCACTAGCTGCAGGGCAGACCAGCATTAAGACTGAATACTGGGCAAACTCTGGCCCCTGGTGTAGCCTTGACATCTAGTAGTCAAAGGGGTCATTTGTTGCCAGGTTGTCTACATCTGCCCTTTACCAAATATAATCATTGATCATATGAGTTATGCACTACCTATGATGGCTGCCAGCAGCCAGGCCTTAGAGATGCATCGTGAAAAATTGACCAGAAAGCCTCACAGTGGCCACCACTGTTACTTCTTTACCACCATGAGTATATGAGGCACGTTAGGCATGAAAGGGGATCCTTTACCTCTCTGGGAAAGCCATTAAGAGGTTTCTCTGCAGCACCTCTTGCATTTTTCTCGCTCCGTGATGTGCGGATGAGCCATAGCATATTCCGTTTTTATCGTGGATCCAAAAAGGAACCAGTAATGGTCCCTTTCTTTGATGGCCAGAATCACGGCCCTTACATAGGCACTGCAGCACGAAAGAGACAATCTGCACAAATTTCCAAATGCAGAGGAACCCGAGAATTTAATTCCTGTGAGGGCAATGGTGTCACCCCACCAACGTACAACTCCTGGTGTTGGTGAGAGGTGAAGTGCATCTCCGGAAGCCTACCTCATGTTGTCCTCCTCATTGTTGGCAGCCCAACTCTTCTTTTCCTCATGCTCCTCTGATGACTCGTGCTGCCTTACAGGGATGGAGTCAGGGTAAAGTGAGTACTGAGACAGCAGAAAGTTCTCCTCTTCCTCCTGCTGCCCAGTCTATTATACCATGCTGTGTGTTCCAGCGACAACACTAGAGAGACTGTGTCGCAGTATCCCTGCTTTGGCACAGCAATTCTGGTCCCTTTTTAAAACAGTGACAAGATGGTACACATTTCCTGAATGAGGAGTCACTGATGTAGTTTAAAAAACCTAGCTTCCCAGAGCCAGTTCTTGTCCCATATCCACACAAGTTATAGGCTGCTGATGGATGCACAGCTGCTGCAGCATGGCCAAGTTTAGGTTTCTTTAGGCAGGAAAGTCACACATCAGGTGGCTGAATTTCAACCTGTTGAGCTGTGGCTGGATATGACTGCCTGAAGTGGCTGCATGCTCTTCTGGCGCTTGTCGCAGCACATCATGGAAGCCAGGGTAATGAACTAAAAAACGCTGTAAAACCAGGTTGAGGAAGTGTGCCAGGCAAGACACATATGTGAACATTCCTAGGTGAAGGGCAGACAGCAGGTTGGTGCCATTGTCACACATACTGGTAGAAGAAGTCATTGGTCAGCCATTTCTCAGTCTGCCCCCGAGGAGCTGACAGAATGTGGACTCCAGTGTGGCTCCTGTCCCCCAGTCATACCAGTTGCAGAACAGCATGGCAGACATTTGCATGGGCCATCACATAGGCTGTTAGTTTTAGGGCTCACCTGGAGGAGGAAGAAGTAGCGGTGACTGAGGTGTCACTATCACCCAGTTGAACGACATGGGATAGCATGTTTGCTGGACTATGTGTCTGTGGTCATATAAACCCTGCTGCTGACCAAGTTATCCAGCAACAAAGAGACATTTCCTTCTACATGTTCCTTCTACATGTTGCTGGAGGGCAGGGATGGCATTCTTGGTGAAAGAATGGTGATCAGGCGCCTGCCACTGTGGTACAGCGCATGCTGCAAATTCATGGAAAGGGGAAGACTCCACTAGTTAGCACAGGAGCAACTGTAAAGCCTGGAAAACTGTCCAAGCTGGCATTAAGATTTTAAGCATGTGGGTGACTTGATACATATTTTTTTTCCCACTCCAGCAGATGGGCAAGAGACATCTGCCTGCTTAAGGATGTAGCTGGAAGGGACCGGATGTGGTTATAGACTTTGAGCAATTTGAAACCTACATTGCACCCTACTGAGTGTGGTTGCATGCTGACCCTCCTCTCTGCTTTATGTGCCATTAACTAATCCTCTCAAACCCCTTATAAGATTCCCATCCCTATAGCTGTAGATGTTGCAATGGACGCAGATGGAGATTCCTGTGGACTGCTGGAACAGGTGGAAAGATAGGGATGAAGAGGAGGACGATTGCAAAACTTTACCTGCTGATCGGATTCAGTAATGTGCTGCTCCCTCAAGCTTTGTGGTTAACAGCCATGTGTCTCCTCATGTATGTGGTACCAAATGACTGGTAGATTTACCACATTTGATGCACTGCATGCAGAGGCTGCAAGCCACTACAGTGCTGTTTCAGCCATAAATAGTCTCCAACATTCACAATGAGCATGCATGCACATCCACGCACACACCAACATGATGCAACGCAGCTGGCAGCATGCACCTGCACAGACTCCATGGGACACAGAAGACACAGCAGTCAGCGCTGGATCAGAGACCGGCACCAGCGTTGGAGGGATCCCTGAATACAAGTGGAAGGAAGAAGATGAACGGATCAAGAGGCATAACTTAAGGTAAGTCCTCAAAGCAGCATGGTGGGGGGATGAAAAGATTTGTGGCTTTAATGTCACTTTAGCTTTGAATCCACAGCAGAAACAGATATTCTAAGATGACAATGTTGGCCCTGCTTAGGGAGCTGCACAGGAAGTGTTATCACCCTAAAACAGGAAGTGGAGGACGTGAACCTGACATTATTTTTGAGGTCCCAGATACTATAAAATATACCAATTTATTAACCTCCTTGGCGGTATTCCCGAGTGTAGCTCGGGGTTACTTCTCCATACCCTGAGCTACACTCGGGAATATCCCATAGTATTTACTTACCTTGTCCCTCGAGCCGCGCGGTGTCCTCCGGCCAGCGCCGGCATCTGTCTTCTGGGTTCCGTCCCTTGCGAGTGTACGCGTCGCACGGGGGCGGAACTGGCGGGAAATTTAAAAAAGAAACAGAATAAACGAAAAAATTAAATAGCAAAAAAAATCCGAAAAAAAATCATGCCGAAAAAATTACGAAACTGAAAAGAATCATACCACCAGGGAGGTTAACACACTTTACTGACATAATTATTATTTCATAATAATCATAATAATTGTCTTACACAAGTCAAAGCTGAAACAAAAAGCATTTGTTAAGATCATGAGAAGTTATCTTCCGATTTTCTTAAACAATTACGGAAATGAACAGAAAAAAATAATCTGAACCTTTTTGGATGGACACAGCTGTTCAAAGCAGATATAGTGTCACTCTACTAAGTTTACTGATGATCCTCTCACTCTGAACTGTATAAAAGGACCATAAGACAGAGGAAGCCTGTTAACTAACCTTTTGCTGATGCCAAGATTGATGTACTGTCTGAATTTAACAACAAACTGATTTCTAATCTGCAATATGCGTTGTTTTACATTGTATTA